ATATTTCTATCAAATATAAATATAATTGAAAATTAGAGCCAGATTTAATAGTGTTTTTCCACTGTGCTGTGCCGAATGCGGAGAATCAAACGACGGTGATGGCAAATTTTGCTTTTGAAGGCAACATAAATTTTTCAAACGATTGACTCAGCAAAATGACCATGAATGTGTGACATCAGCAGCGGCCAGGGGCGCCGCAGCCCCTTCCGCCCCTCTCACACCCAGAACCCGCACCGCCCCGCCCACCGTCGTCGTCATTATCGTCCTGCGGCAGGACAAACATAGACAGACTCAGACGGGGGGGTGAGGGAGCTAGAGAGGTGGCGGGGGCATCCTGTTCCATGGGAGCCGGCAAATATCTAGAGGTAAACACGTGCATTTCCAGCTTCCGTTATCAGTCAGCTTGTTTGCCAGACAGCCGGGCTATTTCCATTGGACACGCCCACCTGCCCAAAATGTACCCCCCCCCCCTCACAATCGCCCACCACATTCATCTATATTTGTCTGCTTATTGACGCTTTGAAGTCTGTTGAAGTCGTACAATTTTCTCGCCCCTAACTGAGTGGCTGTCTTGACTCTTCTGTTTGCTCGTGTGTTGAAAATTAACTTTGAAAGATTTCCGCTGGCATGAAATTGCTTGACATCGCATTTGCGGTTCAATGATTTTCACCTTCTACCAAATGGCGCTCAGGATATGTTAAATGCTGTATGGGCTGGGCACACAGTGCGAATGATTGATTTAATTTGACAGCAATGAACAAAGCGGCGCCAATAAATGTGTTCATTAAAATATATTTGAATTTTATGAATTATTGAATACGTGGCATCGAAATAGCCCCTGTTTATGCGATACAGACAAATTTATGAAGTGATAGTTTGTGTTGTCAGGTGCCAATGGATAAGTCAATAAGACGAAGAAAGTACAATAATTAATAAATAAATGTTATTAAGGTACAAAATTTATAAATAATTAGTCTTAAGCTAAAATTAATAATTTGGAAACAATCAAATTTTTACTATTACTTTTTTTAAGGTATTGAATGTAAATAATATACAATTATTTATATTTTCTCTACCTTTCACTTCTATAATAAACAAAATTTTGATTATAAATGATTTATACTTTTTTATAATAAATCCATATTCATGAATTTCTGATATAGATTAAAATAAAAGTCAAAACATTTTATTACCCTCTGCAAGGGTAACGAAATTTAAATGATTTTGAGCTACCCCAGGGTAAGGCCAACAGCATCAACGTGGTGGCAACTAAATAAAACGTGCAGTACATATTTATGAATTTTTATTTTACGACACCTCTGAAGCATACCAGCTGAACAATGCACTGACCACTGAAAAAACTGAAACCAAAACGGGCCAACTGAGGCTCTCTATATAATTTAAACTAAGAAAGACGGACAAAAATTAACATAAAGCGTTGAATGTTGTCTGGAAAAAGAGGAGAACTAAACAAAAAGAAAATCACGTTTTGTAATTACACAAAAGAGAATACACAGCCAGGGAAGTGGCGATGCCATCCTTGAGAAGCTTGTGTCCTTTTCCCCATGAAAAACAGGCGACCAACGGACCTTGTTTATTTGGGTAAGCAAAACAAAACACAGAACTGAAATGAAAATGCAACAAAATAATTAAAAATCGTGTAGTGCAGAGGTTGATTTCCCAACATGGGAGCCTTGCCTCGAAATGTCGCCAGTCCGAAATTGCTTATGAAACAGGAAGGCTTTTCTCGCCCTGTGGCAAGCGCTGCTGGTCCTGACCAGTTTGTTTGTGCTACGTGTGAATTATAGCATACTTTCAAGCGCGTGCTGGAAATTATATTTAAATGGACACGACAGAATGGCAATGCAGAGGAACCAGGATCACAGATAATGGAAAATTATCTTGAAAGAAAACTAAATCCTAGAATAATTAAGATTTATAATTAAATATAATCAAAAGTTTTTTAAAAAGCTTTGTTTTTGGTCATACAATTTTTTTCTCATTAAATTCCAATCTAGTTAGTCACGCTTATTCGTTCATAACCATTGATATATTGTCGATCACAGCAAGCAGTCTCAAAAGCCGGAGCAAGTTATTTTTACTTCTTCAACATGAATAAGATTGGGAATACTAACATTTTACCAGGGGATCCTGCCGAAAAAGAAGCAAGTGGAGTGGATTCATCAACCCCCGAGGCTTCCTCCATATGTACCGACCAGCCGGCGGCGACTTCCACGCCCAGTAATATAAACTCTCATCGGTCCAGGGTGATGGCTCTCCGGAAGGATTCGCAGGCATCAGGTGACTCGTCTTTGGTGGGGCGGATACCACAAACATTCGGGCATATCAAGGGTCGAAGGCCGATTCGGTCTTACAGGACCCCTAAGAAAACCCTTCCGTCTTCGAACGCTCCGGGAACTTCGAAAACGTCAAAGACACCGTGTCAACCAAAGTCCCCGAAGATCGTCAAGACGCCAAGGAAGTCGGCAAGAACGCCAGTCAAGTCGGCAATGAAGCCGGGAATGTTTCCCAAACCAGGTTCCCCTGAAGCAGGAATCAGTTCAGCTTCGACAGCCCAACTGAATGGAAGAAAGCGTCCCATTTCTCCAGAACCCGCTACATCGACAGGAGAAGTAATCGATGGCGACATCAAAGAAACACCTTCAAAACGGGCTCTATTCCGAGTTCTCCAAGTGAACATTGCATCTCCTTTCTCCATGAATCGTGACAAGCAAATAAAATCCGTGATCGTGGATGGCGATGGCCGCAGTCAAATGGCCAACGAGATCGCACTTAACGAAGCACAACGAGACGAGTTTTTGGAACTTCCCGAGGAACAAGTGGAGCTAGGGATCGGGATTCAGGAGGATTCGATCCACTCACATCCACCTGAGGCAAGGGAATGCCGTGAAATGTCTACAAACACTGAAATTTCAATTTGTCCGAAAACAAATTTGCAGGAAAAACTTCAAAAAGGATGCACTTTCATGTAAACTTCAAAGAACATCGAACTTTAAATTTTTGTTTTTTAAATATAAATTTTCCAATAAAAACCAAGCAATTTGAACCAAGGCGAAATGCAATATTGAGATTTAATAATTATAAGGCAGGATTTTGTATACCCTTGCAGAGAGTGAAGGTGACGTTAGTGACCCTATAAAGCACAGACATTGCAAAAGGTCTTTGGCATTCTATATCATATAGCTCGTATAGAAACAATCGGGAAATGTATTTTTTCAGAAACACGGTTTTAGTTTTATAAACACCACACGACTGTATCGTATAGCTTCGATAGGAACAATCCGAAAAATAAATTTACCAAATTATATGGTTATTTCAGTACAGTACAGTAATTTTTAAAAATTCCAGAGATACGGACTTAAATTTATGAAAATCACAAAATTACATATGACTTTAAAGGGTATCTGCCAAAGTATCAATCGAAATATGTATTGGGAACAGCATCATTTTTGTAAGCATACATATACGGATCGAAATGTAGTTCCTAATTTATCTATAAGATGCAAGGGTATGTAAACTTCGGCACGCCAAAGTTTTCGCCTTCAATGCATTTCCAGTGTGCAGCTGGTCCGAAAACTTATCCATGGGTCGCAAAACAAATCCCTTTGTAGTTCCATTGCAAGCAAAAAACGAGGAAAAACACCACGAAGCAGCCGCTAACAAATTGGGGGATCCCCGGCGTAAGCCTACGAAAAACAAGTCACGTTTCGAGGCGCAGGGTACACACACACAGCTGCACACATGCAAACACAGAGTTGCAGGCCGGTTTGCATAATTGTATTGCATAATTTTAGCACGCGCACACTCTACCGCCCCTGCCACGCCCTCAGCCCCTGAAAACCATCACGCTATGTGACGGCAAACTAAGCGCAACCCATAAATACGCCTAGAAATATGCTGCAATATTTTTGTAGCTGCCGCACACACAGATATACAGACAATTCGCACTACTTTTCTCATTACAAATTGGATTTTGCAGTCACATTTCGCTTATTACGCTCAAAATCCATGCAAATTTCTTTATATGCACCCCAGCCGTTTCGCTCCAAAAAGTGCTCCACCCATTGAACCGCTGTTCCTGCGCCCATTTTATTTCTACTACTACAAATGCACACTTGTCGAAAAAGTACATTAACATATTTGACATTTGTTCTTATAGAAATCTGTGAATATTACCTATAAAAAGTATATTTAGAGATAACATAAAACTCTCTCGACTTTTAATTATTTAAGTTTAATTATTTATAATTCTTAATATTTAAATTGTAATTCTAAAAACTGTAAATAATTATTCTAAATGCATTGACAAATTTTGAAAAAAAAAATCTTCTCTGGTCAATCTATGCATATCCTTCATATTTAATGGAATAGATGAGTGGTTTGAAATTCTTTTTATTTGGTTTTAAAATTTTTATAATAACATTGGGGAATTCGCTCAGTTTCAAAATAAACACACTTTTCCGAACTTGAATTTATTTAATTAAATTATTTAAAATAAAAAACAATGTATTTATTTTGCTCAGTGTGTTTCGGTAGGTGAGCGGGAAAAATGGGGTAAAAAGCGGGCGTGCTTGCATCTTATTACCATTGCCCACAGATAGCTGTAGATACTAGTGGAACACAAGCAAACAAACTAGAAGCACAATAATATAGAGAGACGGCGGCTGCCAAGTTTATTGTGCAAATATAATTCAGTTTTCTTTTCTCTTTGGCCGCCCTTTTTGTCCCTCGCCCTCCTTCGCTCCCAAATTAGCTGTGTGCAACGTGATAATGCCATTTCTGTGCATTTTGCCAGCTTACAAAGTGCGCTGAAAGAACTTTATTGTCTGCAAAAGTGCAGATTATATAATCATGCTTGTGCTGCGACTCGGCAGAAGAGAGAATTGGTAAAGGCCTGCTGCCACCTAATGATAATCTTTATTTGAAAAACCGAATAACGAGAGAACACCAGTAAAATGTGGGTATCATATCTTTACTTTGAAACCGAATAACGAAAGATCGCTACTAAAATGTGTGTTTCATATCAAGTTACTTCATTTTTATGGTCCATATTCGTATCAAAAAAAATCTTTGAAGTTTACATGACGTTGCATCCCTTTAGAACATTGCCCTCAAAGTTTGATTTCGGACAAACCGAAATTTCAGTGTTGGTTGACGTTTCACGGGACTTCCTTGCCTCAGGTGGATGTGTATTGATCGAATCCTCCTGAATCCCGATCTCTAGCTCCACTTGTTCCTCGGGAAGCTCCGAAAACTCGTCTCGTTGTGCTTCGTTAAGTGCGATCTCGTTGGCCATTTGACTGCGGCCATCGCCATCTACGATCACGGATTTTATTTGCTTGTCACGATTCATGGAGAAAGGAGATGCAATGTTCACTTGGAGAACTCGGAATAGAGCCCGTTTTGAAGGCGTTTCTTTGATGTCGCCATCGATTACTTCTCCTGTCGATGTAGCGGGTTCTGGAGAAATGGGACGCTTTCTTTCATTCAATTGGGCTGTCGAAGCTGAACTGGTTCCTGCTGCAGGGGAAGCTGGCTTGGGAAACTTTTCTGGCTTCATTGCCGACTTGACTGTCGTCGTTCCTGTGAACTTCCTAGGCGTCTTCACCATCTTTGGGGACTTCGGTTGACACGGTGTCTTTAACGTTTGCGAAGTTCCCGGAGCGTTCGAAGACGAAAGGGTCTTCTTAGGGGTCCTGCAAGACCGAATCGGCCTTCGACCCTTGATATGCCCGAATGTTTGTGGTATCCGCCCCACCAAAGACGAGTCACCGGATGCCTGCGAATCCTTTCGGAGAGCCATCACCCTGGACCGATGTGAGTTTAGGTTACTGGGCGTGGAAGTTGCCGCCGGCTGGTCAGTACATATGGAGGAAGCCTCGGGATTTGAAAAATCCATTCCAACTGCTACTTTTTCGGCTGGATTGCCTGGTGAACTGATGGTATTTCCAAACTTATTCATGTTGGAAAAATAAATGACTTTTTTTTTTTGGACTTTTCGTGGTGATGAACTATATTCAAATGCTTTTGAACGCATAAGCATGACTAACTAGATTACAATTTGATGTGAAAACAGTGTTAGTGTTGGATAAACCATTTTAGCCAGAAAAATCGACCTGTGCAATACTGGGTTTTGTTTTACTAAAATATAAATATATTTATAAATTTATTTTCCAACAGATAGTTCTCATGTCAATATTGCTTAGTACTGTAACTACAATTTATCAATTATAAATCGACCGGCTTCTATGCTTAGGATGCGAAACTAAACTAAAAACCTATCTCAAATCGTTTCGAGCAAATAAGCAATTGCAATCATCCTCCTGAAACAATCTCGCATAGATTAAATAATGATAAATGCCACAGGAACAAGCACCGAACGGTATCACATTTTTGAAGACCGCACTCTGTTAAAAAAAGGAAGATATTAATTAAATATAATGCCTGTCTAGAGAAGCGACGACGGCTACTGGGAGGCAAAAGAGCGAAGAGTAACGAGAACCCATGAAAATAATCGCTACGAAAACTTTACCAGCTGTATTGCATTACGCCTTTAATTTCATTACAGAGCCGGGGGGAAAGGGGAGCAGCAAGGGAAGCCCGTTCTGAACTGGCCCATAAAATGGAGGGAAAACACTTGTAAAGTCTGCCGGGCGGCCACAGTCTCATATTCCGTGGCGCCTCCTCCGACATTGCAGCTCAGCAGGGGACTCGATGCCCCAACGGCGGCATCGGGAAAACAGCGGGATCGAGGGGCTCTTGGCGCGCTAGAGTTTATTATTTAATACTTTGAACGCCATGCGTTGAAATTAGCAGCCATAAATCAATGAAACGACCAGCCCAAGTCCACAATTAGCCGGGACGAGAGCGACAAAAGCTTCGTGTTATATGAACTACCTATTTAAGCTAATTAATTCTTATGTTTCCATGCTGGTTGAGATAGGGTTTAAAGGTTTTCGTACCACATTTTACAAGATGAACAAGGTTTCAAAATTTGTTTGTACCTTTTTCTTTGTATACATGCGCGCTCCATTAAGAATACTTAAGAACACTTGATAATTATTTAAACACGTTTATTGTTAGTTTCAAAAATATATATTAAGCTCTTATCAAAATCATGGACACAGGTAAATTCGTCTCTGATGCCGACGTATCCGCGAACTGTCCTTGACCTCCATTTGAAAAATGCATACCTTGTGCACGGACGGGAATTTCTTGGTCTGCATTTGGAACATATGTTGCATCTTCATCGGGATCATTTCGTTGGCCTCTATTTGGAAAATATATTTTGCCTCTAGCGGGAACACTTCCTTCATTTGGAACATATCCTTCGGCGCTAATGGGAACATTTCCTTGACGTCCATTTGACGTATACATTTCTGCTCCAGGGATAACATATCCTTGGTTTCCATTTTGAACATATATATTATCTCCATTGGGAACACTTCCTTGGTTTCCATTTCGAACATATCTATTATCTCCATTGGGAACATTTCCGTGGCCTCCATTTGGAACATATTTTTCGTATCCAGTGAGAACACTTCCTTGACCTCCATTGGGAACACTTCCTTGGTCACCATATGGAACATATTTTTCGTATCCAGTGGGAACACTTCCTTGGCCTCCATTGGGAACACTTCCTTGGCCTCCATTGGGAAAACTTCCTTGGCCTCCACTTGGAACATATTCTTCATATCCAGTGGGAACACTTCTTTGGCTTCCATTTGGAACATATCTTTCGCCTCCAGTGGGAGCATATCCTTCGCCTCCAGTGGAAACACTCCCTTGGCCTCCATTTGGAACTTTTTGGTCTTCGTTTGGCACATATCTTCCGCCTTCATCTGGTGAATTCGCCTGGATCTGCTGGTCAATCCAACCGCGCATTTTGGAAACATCAGTGTAGACTCCAGGGATCGGGTTTCCGCATCCGTATCCGAAGTTGACGATCCCGGCCTGCTCGTACCTCTGGGGATCGCTCTGGAGTGGACAGACTAGCGGAGCTCCTCCGTCGCCCATGCACGCATCCTTTCCGATCTCTCCGCCGGCGCACAGAAGGCTGTTATCAAGCCTAAAGTTTGAGGAATATGGTACTTGCAGTTGCTCCTCGCACGTTTGGCTGTCCACCACCGGCACCTCGATCTTCTTCAGGATGTTCATGTAAATGTTGTCCTGCATGTTTTTCTTACCCCAGCCACTGACGATGCATCGACTCCGGATGAAGTTCCGGTTCGGCGGCGGCAGGCAGATGAGATTAATGTGCCGAGTTAGTTCAAGCGGTTTGGCGAGGAATAGAAGGGCCACATTGTTGGCTCCATTTTGGAATACAAACTCGGGGTGGCGCACGATCTTTCTGATGGCAACGTCGACATGTTTCTGCTCCTCTGTATTGGTATTGAAGTCCCATTCGCCAGCCCGCACGATAAGTTGGTTCTCTTTCAGCTTTCCGGTTACATGGGTGGCTGTGAGCACCACATCCGGGGCAATAAGCGAACCGGCTGCCTTATAATTCAGGCTTGCCGCATCCAGCAGAGCCACCACCCATGGCAGCTCGGCCTCCTGGGCCAGGTCCTCATACCCCGATATGGCGAAGGTCAGCCCTTGCTTGTTGACGTGGCCACATTCCCGTTGAATAGGGTTCTCGGCTTGATTTTTCAACTGGAATGGGATCAAGTTATTAAAAGAACTTATGTCTCTTATTTCAGATTTGGGGCAGCAGAAATCCGTAGAGGGACATCCCCGGTTTCCGTTTAGTAGTTCTTGAAACTCCACGATATGCTTCCCATTCTCGGAGCCGATCTTGCAGAATTGTCGCGGCACGCATATGTTATCCATGGATCGGCCGCAAAACCTGGCCTTCACTCCGTAAATGGCCAGAAACAGGCACAAGATCGAAAGTAATCCGTGTGTGCGAACCATTCTGGTTGCTGTTATTCAAGAAACTGTCGGCTGCGAAGCAATCTGAGGTTTGAGAGAGGTCTGAGTTCCTCTTGATAAGGCTTGTTTGACCGCTTGGCGAGAGATAACCCCGTACTGAAAATAAAGTGTTGTTCTTTTGGTGCGTCATATAAAATTTCGATTAAGTTAAATATTATTAGCCAATCTATGTGAGTAATTTTTGAAAGTTTCATTGCTTTTGCATGCAAAAAAAAGTATATATTTTATATATATGTTTTAAATGTTTTTTGCGATCGGGGTCAACAGTTTAATTACAAGAATGCAAAACAAAAGTTTGTACATTTTCTTATATATATTTTGTTAATTATAACACGCTGATTAATCTTTAGACATGTCTGCTTTATTCCACTCGTCAAACTAAGGTTATTTGTCATAGCTATACCATAATTATCGGCAGCTTACAGTAATGTGATCTTCTAAATGCCTATTACAATAGGAAAATTATTATTGTTTAGTTTAACATAGTATTTCACTTGGAATCTATTATTTTTAAGTAAAATACGAATCGTACTTGATTTAAAATTTGTTCTTTTATTTTGAGAGTTTTGCTTTTAAATTAAGTCTTTTAAGGGTAGTTTACTATTGGGATTAAACAAGAACGCTCCTGGTCAATCCAGCTGCGGATTTTGGAAACATCAGTGAAGACTGGAGGGATGTTGCCTGGGTGTAGAAATCCGAAGCTAAGGATGCCGGCCAGCTCGTACCTCTGTGGATCGCTTTGGAGCGGACAAGCCAGCGGGACTCCACGGTAGCCCTTCCACGAATTCCTGCCGTCAACACACAACAGGCTGTTATCGAGGCTGAATTCTGGGGGATAATATTCTAGCTGTTGCCGCTCGCACGTTTGGCTGTCGATCACAGGAACCTCCGTCCTCTTCATGGTTTTCGACAATCGGTCTTCCTTGAATTCATCCCAGCCACCGACGATGCATTGCCTCGTGATGAAGTTCCGGTTCGGCGGTGGTAGGCAAATGAGACCAATGTTGCGGGTTAGTGGAAACGAATCGGCGAGGAACAGAAGGGCAACATTGTTGGCTCCATTAGCACCAGAAAAATCGGGGTGGCGAACGATATTACGGACGGCAACGTCGACATGTTGGTCCCTCTCTGTATTGGTACTAAAGTCCCATTCGCCAGCCCGAACAATAAGCTCGTTCGCGTTTAGATCGGCAATTACTTGGTTGGCTGTTAGGACCAGATCCTGGGCAATGAGGGAACCGGATGCCTTATATTTGAGTCTTGTGGCATCCAGCACAGCCACCACCCATGGCTGCTCGGCCTCCTGGGCCATGTTTTCAAGCCCCGCTAAGGTGAAGGTCACCGTCTTCTTGTTGACGTGGCCACATTCCCGCATGATCGGAAGTCGATGTTGAATCTGCAATGGGAATTACTTGATAAAAAGAACGCTATCCCTGTCTGCATTCCATTGGCAATACAATATCTGATTCGGCACAGCAGGTTTCCGTAGTGCGACATCCCCAGTTGCTGTATCTGTTCGAGGAGTCTATCCTGCAGGATTCTAGCGGCACGCACTTGTTTTCAATGGAGCCGGTGCAAAACCGGGCCTTGACTTCGTAAATGGCCAGAAGCAGGCAGAGTATGGAACGTAATCCATGATGGCAAACCATTTTAGTCAATAATATGCAACCAACTAAGGCATGAGTAGCAATCTGCCGCTTTTTATACCGTAATCAGCCGAATTTGAGATAATATTTGTTTTAATCACTTAACAAGAAATCACGCTTCAAAAACAAAATGTACAAGTTTAAATGATAAGGTATAAGCAAATAAAGAATGATAACCTTAGATGGCCTCAAATTTAAGTGAACTGTTTGCATAGTATAATTAACATTACGTCCATGACTAAGGCTATCCTCTGTTTATGGTCAATTAAAAGATTTTTAATTTCAAGGCCTGGGCATATTTAAGTGTGTTTTTCTAGGTGACGACCGATTTTAAATGTCTCCAAGACAGGCTTATGCGAAACATTTCCATTTTACATTTGGTGGAACTTTCGGCGCAATTGCTTAACTAATTCCCATGGCCTTTTCAACGAGAATGAGTTAAGCAAACAAAATGCGAGCAACTTTCCTTGCACACACATTTGGATGGAATAGACAAGACAAACAGCCAAAGCCAGTTACAACAACGTCGGTGCAGAAAACTTCAACAAGACAAGACACTACGCAAGGACAAGGCTAACATCAGCGGCTGGGAGGTGGGTGGTGGGGTGGTTGGGTGTTTTTGGGTGGTGGCCAGGTTGGGAGGTGGTCGATGGGCGGTACAAGTGGCAGCATGTTGGAGCGTTCTGCGTGACGGTTACAGCATGGCAAACAAGATGGGGGGCCACTAGTCGCACTGGTAAACTTCTACAACTAATCCTGACTGATGTTGCGACAATATATACAAACAAGCATCTGGATACACACTTTCATATAGTACATATCTATATGGAGTGGCACAACACATGCTTCGCAGCTACGCTTTGCTGCCCCTGCCCCACTTGTTTGCAATTTGTGCTGAAGATTTATGCGTTGGCGCAAAAGTTGCATTTCAAATGGATTTATATAAGAATAAGGAAATAATAACATTGGCAGCAGCAGCACTTTCACAGAGGGTGAGATTCGCTTTCTCTAATCAGCATTGGGGAACTAGCAAATGCAATAGAGTGCATCCACGATCTAGGAACTACATCGGTATTACTATTTTAATCATAAATAAATAAATATCATTGAATTAAATTCAGACAAGTAAATATGATTGATAAGATCTACAATTTTAAATGATAATTTAAAGAGATTTATAAGTATTAATAAGTATTACTAAATGAAGTAGTACTTTTTTGAATTAAAATATTATGATTTTAAATAGACATTTAAGCGATAAGGGTTTTATTATTGATATTGTTGATTACTAGAATTGTTTTAAATAATAAATAATAATTAATTATTGTAGATTAAAATAAGACTTTAAACGAAGAACATTTCATAAAATTAAATTTCAAAATTCCACATTAATAATTACAATTTCTGAATTATGTTTTGCTGCACATACATGGACATCGTATTTGTTCAACTTGAATTTATTTTACCTGCTAATTACTTTATATTGTTCAATAATAAAACCAATTTTTGTTGTTTGTTTACCCCGCTCGTTGTGAAACTGGCTATGGGCAATTTAATATTTGCAAGAATTATTACTCGCTAAAAATAAAATTAAATTAATGCTGACACCCACAAAAATGATACCAATTGGTTGTATTAATTAGGCGTAAATCGCACCGCGAACTGGGACCATTAAGCAAATTAGTCAGTTAACCTTATTATAAAGTAAACAAAGCATATATTGTGCACGGTTGATTGATATTTAAAATTTAATTGGATTTACTACTATGGGAGAAGGGCAGTTCTTTGAGCAAAAAACTATAAATAAAATACACGTCCGGGAAAACTTTCGGAAAATGATTGAATGTATTTTCAAAGTCACAGCTGTGGCTACAAGTTCACCGCACTTTCCACATCTTTTCCTTGCATTGCATGTGTGGGTGAAAAGTTGTGTTCGAGTTTTGAGTAATTCAGCGACACATTTTCCGCCCACCCAACGAAATGACAAACTTTGTTCTAGGAAACTTAAGGCGGGCGTAGTTGAAGCCCATTTTCCTCCCCACACAAGATAGTTGTTTTGTCTACATCTCCGGTTCTATTCCTTTTACACTGACAAAATCCAATAGTTAACCAATTAGTGGTATTAGTGAGATATGTTACCATATCTTAGAAAAAGCAATTTTAATAAAAAGAATATTGTGCCTTTCATTTTCAGAATAAAGTAAACTTCAATATTTTTTACTAAAATTCGAAATAGATGTTTTTATTACAAAAATTAATAAAATTGGTTGCAGAAACAAAATATTGAACTATATTTATAAATTTTTGCTGTTTAAAAAATTACAAACATTTAAGGAATAAAATGTAAAAAAAAGTATTTGAAAAATCAAATTTTCTCAGTGAATTGCTCTTTCAATCGAATGTATGCTCTGTAGTAGCTTAATTAAGTGCATAAACTTCTATGCGAAAATACACGCATGTGGTCCCTTTCTACTCCTGTTGACACACCTTTACACCTACTTGCCCTCACACACACACACACACATATTTGCAGGTTTATGTTTGGGTCCTTTTACTCCTTTTTTAGCTCGTCATCAGTTGCTGCTGTCGCCGGTTCCCTTGGGGCAAGTTTTTGGGGCCGAGGTATAAATTTGGAACGCTTTACATTGTTTACGCAATTTGCCTTGGTTACAGTCACAGTTACCAAGTGTGCAAGTGTGGGTGAGTGTGAACGCTTGTGTGTGTGTGCCTGACGAAGTCCTTTGCTAAAGTGTTGCAATTATATTGATTGAATTTTGTGGCAACATCGCAAGAGCATCAGCCATATTATCCGTACGTCACCCAGGGGAGGCATTTCGCAGAGGGCGTGTCGGGGGCGTGGCAAGTCCTTTATCGCCAATGATAACCGTTTCACACCTTCGCCAAGTGGGGCTTAATTTACGTCGCAGGCTCTGCGTCCTAATGTGTCGAGGGAACCGTGGCCAATTGACTTCGGGTATGATTGGCATGACTATCAAATTAATGAAGTAGTGAAAGTGGCTAAGATACCAAGCAAGTTTAATGGGTTACAAAATCTTCGAACTTTTACTTGGGGAAGTTTTTGATACAAATAGATATATAAGACATTTCGTCAGTTTAATCCATTATAGTTAGAAGTAAAGTATTGGTATTTTAATACTTTTCAAACTATTTTTTATTTTATGGTTAAATATATTAATTTTTGCATATTGTTGTGTCATTAATTGTAAATTTTATTCAAAATAAAAGAAAAATATCATTGAATTAATTATATACAGTGTAACCTCATTTGTATTCATTAAACTTAATAAATTCACACGATAATTATCATTGGCAATATTCTGTCAGCATTTATGACATTCCATTGGCTCCTTGTCAAAAATTTGCAAACAATTGCAATATTCATGCTGAGCTGTCTGAAAATGTGTGAAATTTGTTGATATATTTTTACAGATTTTCTAATTACAATTTTTACGCGTGTAAGCTTGCTGTCACAATGTTGACAGGGGCCAGTGGCACAAATAAACGAAGGACTGGCAGACTGCAAGCCTGAAACAGATGTCTATAACGGTGGCACTGCAATTTGCATACGCTCACTTAATACAGCATATGTATACATATATACATCCGAGCAGGCCATCGACTGCGTTACAAATTCAATAAACAAATAAATTAACAGAATTTGCAACAAATCAGCGGCATGTTTGGTTAATTTCCAAATATGAAAGCTACCGGGCGTAGCACGCCATATGCAAATTGCCGCAGCTAAACTACCAAAAGTCTGTAAGGGACTCTGTTTAATAAAGTGATAAAATATTTATGCAAACACAAGGCCTGTCGGTTCAAAGTTAGCCTAATGAGAATTGGTTGCCCTTTTAAAGTTTAAAATACCCTTAAATATACTCTATATGCGTTTTAGAGTAAATAACTATTTCATTCCATCCTGAAATATTAAACTATTTCATCTTTAATTTTTTGTATCTATAAATTATAATATATGGAAGTCAAATTAAAAGTAAATTACTTAAAAAATTAAAGTTCTTACACTAAATCTTAAATATTAAACTAAATATATCAAATGTTAAGATTAGGCAAATGTCAAAAGGAAACTCTTTTTAACCTCGGTTTAAAGGGCATCCATAATTCAGAGAGAGAGGATTGCGTTCGAGACTAACAACTTTCAGCTTACCTGGCTGTGATATTTGCATAGGCCGCGCATTTTGTGATTAACAGCTTCCCAAATATAATTACGAAATTCCTGATTGCATATGTATGTGAATGGGTGATTGCGTGTATTGGTGCACTGTATGGCTCAATAATTACATTGTATTTATTTGAAACAGTAATTACATTGTATTTATTTGAAACAGTTTTCCGTTCGTTGCCGTGGGATATTTCCACCTTAGCCCCTTCTTTCCCCGAAATCCAAATATACCATTTTCAATATAATTATTGCAATTTATTTTGCTGCTAAATTCTGCGCAAACTATTTGCAAAGCACACATCCCGGCACATCAATATCGAGTACACTCCTACAATGTTTAGTTTGATTTGCTGCAAACTGCATGATGTGTAGTCGATTGTTTGGCCGTGTTCCTAAATTGCGGAATCAAGTTACTTCATTATAGTCTGCCATGCAGGGGTTTATCAATCAAACTGAATTGTCGAGTTCATGTATGAATATTTCGTTGAGTTTGCAGTTTAATTTTATGGTTTGATTGGGCTCAGTTCTCGGATAATGCCTATTATGCTTTCGGTCAGTTTCATATTGCAAGGCCGAGCTAATTAGTCCACTTTTGGCAGAACTCCAGATTATCTGAAAGACCAATGGCTTTTGTAAATACTATTTCCGACCGCTGGGATTTTAATTATCTTTTAAAATAATTGCAGGTACTAAATATCATAAACAAAAGAAGTAATTATTATAAACATAAAGAAACATCAGTTTTAATTCGTAACTTTAAAGGACACTTGTTAATATACATTTTATGTCTTAATATCCTGTT